ATGAGTCAGTACAAGGTCGCTATGAGTCAGAACCAACTCAACAGCACTTAACAACTCTTATAGATAAGCCATGTATATATATAGATATGTTGTTGTTGTTGTTAAGTGCCATCAAGTCTATTCTGATCCACAGCGACCCTGAATAGGTTTTCCAAGGACCAGCTGGTGAGCTTGAACCACTGACCTTGCAGTTCAAATGACTTTGCAGTCTGACACATTAGCCCACAGCACTACACCAGGTACTCCATATATAGATATAGATAGCTATATATATGTATATGTGTGTGTGTGTGTGTATATATATATATATGGAGCTCTGGTAGCGTAGTGGTTACGAATCGGGCTGCGACCTGCAAGGTAAGCAGTTCGAAACTACCAGCTGCTTCGCGGGAGAAAGATGAGGCGATCTGCTCCCGTAAAGATTTACAGCCTCAGAAACCCTGTTCAGGGTCGCTATGGGTCGAAACCGACTCGACGGCACTTAACAACAACAACAACTACATATATATATATATATATGTATGGAGTCCTGGTGTGGCGCTGTGATCTAATGCGTCAGACTGCAAAGTCATTTGAACTGCAAGGACGGTTGTTCAAGCTCACCAGCTGCTCCTTGGAAACCCTATACAGGGTCGCTATGGGTCGGAATCGACTCAACGGCACTTAACAACAACAACATATACATATACATATACATGTATATATTGCTGTTGCTGAGTTGCTTTAGACTCACAGCAGCCCTGTACAAAGTTTCCAAGGCTCTTTAAATCTCTTACAGGAGCACAAAGCCTCATCTTTCTCCCATGGAACAGCTGGGGGTTGCAATTAGAATAACATCTAAGATTAAAAAAAATACTTAAAATGAGATAAATCTCCTAGTATCTAAGTGAAGAAAAATGATCACTTCACCAATATCAATCCTTCTCCCTATCGCTGCTTTTATTTCATTATCAACCTAAATACCACTGAAAGCTAGTATTATATTCCATTATTGCGTAAACTGTCAATCTCTTGTAAATATGTGAACTCAGAACAACCGCCTAGAAGAGAACTGGTACTGAGAGAGAGGGAGAGCTGGAAAGGTAAACAGGTTAAGAAGCAAGAAACTGAGAAGTCATATACTTTCAAACAATAAACATATCAAAACACAAATCATAATGAACTAAACAAACAAAATCTACATTGAAGTGTGTCGTCTTTCCATATTAATGCTAACTTTTACAGGAGAATCCATGATTTGCTGCATAAAAAAACTGCTGGTCTCCAAGTATAGTATTTATCTGGATCAAAATCACCTGAGGCACTTATTGAACATCAAAAGCCTAAGACTCAGACCCCACTTCAGATGTTAGGAAATTTGTAATTTCAACAAACACCCCAGCAGGCTCATGAACCTCAAAGTTTAAGGTAAATTCCCTTGGCTGTCTGACTGTGTGCTGTGAATGGAGTTGGTTCTGACTCTTAGCAAGAGGCTATACATCTTTAAAGGAGCAGAAAGCCCCATCTTTTTCCCATGGAGCACCTGGTGGACTCAAACTGCTGACCTTGCAGTAACCCACTATTCCACCATGCTCCTTCAATTCCTTTAAGCATTCAGAAACATGAGATATCATAGCTGTTGCTGGTAAGTGTTGTTGGTTCAATTCCAACTCTTAGAGACCCTGTACAGGGTTTTGGAGGAGGTGAGGTTGGTGGTTTTGAACCACCTACCTTGCAGTTAGAGCCATCCCCCAAACATTTTATTAGGCTTTCTTCAATACAGCAAGATTAAACTGGGCACAGTGGATTTAGCTGCTAACTGGAAGGCTGACAATTTGAACCACCAGTCACTGCACAGGAGATAAATGAAGACATCTGCTTTGATAGAGATGTAGAGCCCCTCGTACCCTATGAAGTAGTTCTACACAGTGTCTTACAAGGTCGCTGTGAGATGGAATCTACTCAACAGCAGTGGATTTGGTTCTTAGTTTATAAATTAATCTAAACAATCTAATTTAGATTTTACACACTATTTTGAAAGGACCACATAACAAGGACAGTTGAATAATTTGTTGAATTAATATGACTTGGCCCAGGAAGTTCCTCACATATAGAAATATGAATTTAGATGAACTGCCATTGGCCATTGAGAGGAGAGAACATAAGACTGAGGACAGAGAAGATGGATTCTACACAAGGAATTGAAGGAGAAAGTGATTTCACTTAAGCTTCTTAACCTAAGCTTCACATGCCTTTTCTAGAAAGTGAGAGCATCAGTTCTGTGAAATGAACTGCCATGGAATCATTTAAAGAGAGTCTGAAATGTTGAAATATCGATTCTAAAATAAATATTTACTTCAGCAAATGCCCTTGAGTTCTTTTCTTGAAAACTGAATACTATAAAGACAAAGAAACATTTTGAAATGGGGCATTACCTTAAAGAAGGATTTGTCATTCTGTAATTAGTTTGAATGCACTGTTGTTGTTGTCAGGTGC